GAACTAACAATTCAAGAAATTCGAAACGGACATGAAAAACTCGCAAATTAGTTAGTTGATTTGTTCACATACGCACCTTTTTTGAGTGTTTTTTTCACAGTCATGTAACCACTCTTCTGTGGGAAGGTAAAGTCACCAGTACGTTGTCAGTTAATCTGTCATGTAGCCTCTTTTCCTCAGAAGAAAAATTTATGAATTGGAAAGAATTTTTTCACTCGATTTTTTTCTCATATGCTTAAAGTCTTCAGTTTAACATCTCCGAACGTAATCAGTGAATTAGTTCTGGGTGCTCTGAAACCTCGAATTGATACTTCATTGCCCGAAAAAGAACAGTACAAGTAAGTATTCGTGCAGAAATTTTCCACATCACTTTGAAAGTCAGCTCAGTTTGAGAGTTTTGATGAGATTTCAATGCAAATTCTCCTTGCAATAGCGAAAGTATTTTAAAAATTCTTAATTTGTAACTGAAACTTCGTTCTAATTCCTTTCTGTCGTAAGCAATTTGGTAAGTTTATCTTCAGACGTGCTCACCAGTGTGCTGAAATATTATCGTTAAATAACGAACAGTTGAGTGTGGCGATGTTAACAAGTAATGAATCAAAAAGTCTACTACTGAATTTCCTAGAAGATGATAATATAAATAATTTGATCGCTAGCTTCTACATGAAAATTATCTCACAACTACTCAGTAAATGTACCGACCAAGTGAGTTAATTTTATACGTTAATTGAATCTGTAATATCCCCCATGGTTGTTCTTGTTTAAATTCTCAATACGATGACCTGATATTGTATTATGATGACTTGATATTGCATTACCTGATTACTATGACTAGTATATGAATTGATTAATTTATCATCATAGATCAGTTGAGTCATATCATATTGATTTTATATTGAATCATGTGAATTCATTAGTTTTTCATCATATATCATTGAATCATATATTGATAATATTATGTCAGTGGCAATGATTATATTATCGTTAATCACCTTTATCGTATTTATATATTGAACGTTTTCGATAGTATACTACATAAATTATGCATTTTGCACAAATTTAATGTGCTGATTTAATTCTACGGAATAGTATAATAATAGATGAATCATATTGAGCAGTGTTGCATAATAATGGTGTGAACACTAAACTAGTTTTTTCTTAAATTGTAATTGGGCACTGTATCTGATGCAGTTGCTTTGAAGTGTGAACGTTCCGATTGAAATTTTGCAGTGAAAGATTCATTTTACTAACAGACAAATATGAAAATTTCAGTTTTTGGATGAATTAAGTAAGAGTGATTTTGTGGGTCTGTGCTT